AAAAAAAAAATAGCTTTTATAATATACAGTGAAATTAAGTCTGTTTTTTTTGTTGGCATCGAAACGCTGTTTTAATTGATCAGAAGTGTCAGATGAGCAGCTTGCCTTCAACGTCTGAAGATTTGTGAAAAATTTAGTGATAAAACAGTTCAAGATTTCAGCTTTTAGCACTCTCTTAAAAAGCAATTTTTGTTGTCACACTACAACAACAACTCCTTCTCATGTCATACTGTTGATTCTTATATCATGGCTTTTTTTTTTTGGTTCAATAAAATTGCTCTTTATCAACAATTTTCTATTGTCAGCTTTTTAAAAGACTAAACTACAGCTGTTAACAGTGTTAGCACACAAAAGCGGAAGGATAAAAGCTGGAAATAAACTAACTTTGTTGGATTTCAAAAGATCAGTACTGTTTTCCTTTGTCCGCACGTTTACACTATTAATTTCCGTCAGCAAAAATTTGAACTCACATTTCATGCAAAAAAAAAAAAAGAGCGCAATAAAATCAAAAACAGATAAATAATGGAACAAAAAATCAAACTATATTCACAACAATTAATTAATTAAAAATTTCAAAAAACAAACAAACAGTTGTTATGCTTTAGGTCTTTATGAAATACGTTAACAGAAGAACAAAAACGACTCAGTAAAAATCTGAATAAACACTAAAAAGAAAAAACTAATATTAATAAAAAATGAAAAACAAATAAACAGATCAAAGTGCAAGGAAGATGTTTGACGTAAACTTTGGAAATTTTCTGCAATACTTTTCTTTGCCTTCACTGCAGGTCAGACTTTTACGCATGGCTTTCTTTATCCTGTTAAACTAGAATAGTTTTTTGCATATCAGATTCCTAAGTGACTTTGATTGTCGGTGCAGTAATTCCATACCTGTTTATACATTTTTTGCCCAACTTTTAACCGATCTAACACTATAGTTCCATCCCAATCTTTATGATTTTCCACAGAGTCACTTGCCTTTTGACCTTCCGATACACAATGGATAACAATTAGCCGTTGTTACTGTATGATGCTTATTACAGCTTCCCTTAGGCTACTTACTCTTCAGTGTACACAGACACTTCGGCTACTGTAACACTGATTACAGGTGAACTGCTTTCATAAGGTATGCTTTATAGCAAAACCGGTTTCAAATTGTGCCCGGCGTAGTTTTTC